GAACCTTTCTAGGGGTCCCCTTCATTTGCCCTTGTTTTGCCTGGGCTCTGTCATCAGGCAGGATAGCTCTGCATTTCCTAGCTAAATGGCCTCTCTTTCCGCAGCGCTGACAATTTGCAGTTCGAAATCTGCACGCTGCTCGTGGGTGGTTTCCTCCACACCCTATGCAGGATTGTGCCTGGGCTGCTTAATTGGATTGCCAATTATTTCCTGATGCAGTCTTCAGCCGGTGGATGTCGTCATCCCCTGGCAGATCGAGGTCTTCCTCAGTAACCTCTTCCTGGTGACAGCTAGGGTTTTTTTCCCCGAAGCTGGGCTGCTCGCACCATGAATCTCTACCGTTGACTTGTTGGATAGCTCTGCAGTGCAGGCTTCGTCCAATGCTGATTGTAGTGTCAGGTCAGGCTTTGCTAGTAGTCTGTCCAGCAAGGCATCATCCAGCTCTTTAAACTTGCAATGGAGAGCAGCTGTTCGGAGACCCGCCATAAATTGATTAACAGTTTCCCCCTCAGCTTGCTTGCACTGGTGAAATGCGTGCCTTCGGGCAATTCGTGAGGGGGTGGGAGCATAATGGTTCTTAAGCTTTGCCATTAACGCCTCCCAGGTGACAGAATTCAGGGGCTGAGGTGCTAACAGAGCTCTGGCTGTGTCAAACATTTGTTTGCCACAGAAATTTAGAAACAGCGCCCTTCGCCGGCTGCCTGTCAAATCCACCAGATCGTTTGCCTCTAGGAAACAGTCAAAACACTCAATGTATGACTCCCAAGTCTCTGTGGATGCGTCAGATGGTGCGAATGAATTTAACGATGCCATTCTGACAGCTTCACAGTACCCTTGATCCTTAGGCAGGTGGCTGGTGGACTTATCAAGCTCCCTCAGCGTGACTTGCTCTTTTTGTATGCTCTTCTGGCTTGTTTGGCTCTCTCTGCCACCATGATCAGCTCTTTTGTTTGCCCATAGGAGGACTTCAAGCTCGCTTAATGCCTCAAGGATGGCAATCCCACCTTCATCGCCAGTGCTTTGTACTGGGAGCGAATGCACCACAGACTGAGGCGAGGCTGCTAAATTGGTTGCTCAGGCTTTATTGAATCCGCGCACTAACAAATGAACTGCTCAGCTGTGAGACAACAGCTGTTGGCCTGTTTGACAGCTCCTTATATAGTTGGCTGTCAAACTACCGGCCAATCAGGTTGCAGCTGGGTGCCCCCTGCTGGAAACCGGACCAAAGGGGGAACTTCAGAACATAGTAGCCAGCCCATGATGTTTTAGTTGTCTTCTATAAGAATTCAAAATATGGATCAATTGATGCTTACACAATCATAACAGGAACCTTTTTTTTTTTTTTTTGGGAGCTGCAGATTCCACAAGAGCTATTCAGTACCAGTTACTTAGTGCTATTTTTAGATATTTTAACACATCTACTAAGCTGCACAGTCCATTAGCCTAATATTATGGCACATCAGACCATTAACAGCGGTAATTTATTTGAAATTCTACATGGGCAACAAACAAAAAATCCCGGGTAAGATGCCACACAAGGCTGGTAGTTTAAATTAGCATAGTGAATTCCACACCATGTAAGTTTGTATTATTCGATGTGATGATAGTACACTGCTCAAAAAAATAAAGGGAACACAAAAATAAGACATCCTAGATCTGAATGAATGAAATATTCTTATTAAATACTTTGTTCATTACATAGTTGAATGTGCTGACAACAAAATCACATAAAAATTATCAATGGAAATCAAATTTAGCAACCCATGGAGGTCTGGATTTGGAGTTACACTCAAAATTAAAGTGGAAAAAAACACTACAGGCTGATCCAACTTTGAGGTAATGTCCTTAAAACAAGTCAAAATGAGGCTCAGTAGTGTGTGTGGCCTCCACGTGCCTGTATGACCTCCCTACAATGCCTGGGCATGCTCCTGATGAGGTGGTGGATGGTCTCCTGAGGGATCTCCTCCCACACCTGGACTAAAGCATCCCCCAACTCCTGGACAGTCTGTGGTGCAACGTGGTGTTGGTGGATGGAGCGAGACATGATGTCCCAGATGTGCTCAATTGGATTCAGGTCTGGGGAACGGGCGGGCCAGTCCAAAGCATCAATGACTTCATCTTGCAGGAACTGCTGACACACTCCAGCCACATGAGGTCTAGCATTGTCGTGCATTAGGAGGAACCCAGGGCCAACCGCACCAGCATATGGTCTCACAAGGGGTCTGAGGATCTCATCTCAGTACCTAATGGCAGTCAGGCTACCTCTGGAGAGCACATGGAGGGCTGTGCAGCCCCCTAAAGAAATGCCACCCCACACCATTACTGACCCACTGCCAAACCGGTCATGCTGGAGGATGTTGCAGGCAGCAGAACGTTCTCCACAGCGTCTCCAGACCATGTCACATCTGCCACATGTGGTCAGTGTGAACTTGCTTTCATCTGTGAAGAGCACAGGGTGCCAGTGGCAAATTTGCCAATCTTGGTGTTCTCTGGCAAATGCCAAACGTCCTGCATGGTGTTGGGCTGTAAGCACAACCCCCACCTGTGGACGTCGGGCCCTCATACCACCCTCATGGAGTCTGTTTCTGACCGTTTGAGCAGCCACATACACATTTGTGGCCTGCTGGAGGTCATTTTGCAGGGCTCTGGCAGTGCTCCTCCTGTCCCTCCTTGCACAAAGGCGGAGGTAGAAGTCCTGATGCTGGGTTGTTGCTCTCCTATGGCCTCCTCCATGTCTCCTGATGTACTGACCTGTCTCCTGGTAGCGCCTCCATGCTCTGGACACTACGCTGACAAACACAGCAAACCTTCTTGCCACAGCTCGCATTGATGTGCCATCCTGGATGAGCTGCACTACCTGACTCACTTGTGTGGGTTGTAGACTCCGTCTCATGCTACCACTAGAGTGAAAGCACCGCCAGCATTCAAAAGTGACCAAACCATCAGCCAGAAAGCATAAGAACTGAGAAGTGGTCTGTGGTCACCACCTGCAGAACCACTCCTTTATTGGGGATGTCTTGCTAACTGCCTATGCTTTCCACCTGTTGTCTATTCCATTTGCGCAACAGCATATGGAATTGATTGTCAATCAGTGTTGCTACCTAAGTGGACAGTTTGATTTCACAGAAGTGTGATTGACTTGGAGTTACATTGTGTTGTTTAAGTGAGCAGTGTATATTCTATTAAAATAGCTTTCATTACTTTATTGTAGTATTTTCACCGAAACTTTTAAAAAACTTTTAACTATGATTTTATTTTTAAAGAGATGTTTTCTTGCAACTTATTTTTTCATTCCAACTCTGAGTCATATGCATATATACATATATCTCAGCCATCTGGGAAAACTCTGCATCTTGAACCTGAATCAGAAGCATGTTGGATTGTTTTATTAGCAACATTATATTTTGATAGGGAAATCAAAGACAAGTTGTCTCTGCCCATCAGTGTCACTGCTGACCAGAGGTGGTATTCAGCTGGTTCTGACCTGTTCTGGAGAACCAGTAGCGGAAATTTTGAATAGTTTGGAGAACCGGCAAATACCATCTCTGACTGGCCTCACCTCCATCTATTCTCTGCCTCCCGAGTCCCAGCTGTTCAGCTGGGTCTTCTTTTGTTGCCCTGCACAGGAGAACAAAGCTAGAAAGCAGGTTAGTGGGGTGGGGAAGGAATGGGATTTTGCACTAACCTTCCCCCAGGAGTGGGGAGGGAATGAGATTTTGCAGTAACCTTCCCCCAGGAGTGGGGTGGGAATGGAACTTTTACAGTATCCTTTTCCTGGGGTGGATTGGGAATGGAGCTTTTACAGTATCCTTCTGTTGCCAAGCACCACACCACACCCACCAAGAACTGGTAGTAAAAAGATTTGAATCTCACCTCTGGTGCTATCCCAGAGGCGTGTATATAGAACCACAGACTGGGTTTAAGGAAGGTAATGACGCCCCACTTCATACCTGGATACTGATTTGGAGGAACAACTTCTTCCTCAAGATGCACTTCCTGCTGCTGGACTTTCCCAATCTGCCACTGAAAAGCGGGCTTCAGTTTCTGATAGCCAGGAACAAAATGGAGTCTTGGGAAGTTTCTGAAGCCAGTCAACTAATCATCTCAGTCACTACTGTATTTTAGTTATTATTGTGTTCTTTGTTTTTTGCCCCCTTTTTAAAATGAGGGATTAGGAATGCTTCCTTCCCTCAGCCTACCATACTTGGATTCAATACAGCACTTCAGTTAAAGATATAGGAAGGAGCCACACTGATGGTGGTGGCAAGGAAGTAGGCCTTGATTCTGATCGTCCTTTCTCTTGCCTTCCCAGAAAGTTGGGGAAGACCCCAAGCCTGGTGTAAAGTAAACTGTCCTGAACTGCCTCTGATAGGAGCAGGAGAGGCCCAATTGAGGCACTACATTACCTCGGGGGTTTTAGGGTCTTTTATATCAAGCTATTTTCTCCCTATCTGTAGGGTCACCCACCAGCTGCCCAGCTCCAAAGTCACTTGTAGCTTCAAACATCCTTAAACAGATATGGTAGAATAGTATTGTAATCCTGTTTCATGAAAAACTTCCATTTAAGACCTTTATCTTCAATAACACACTATGTACTCTTTCATATTTGGCTCCCCAGAGATCTTTGTATCAGTGTATAAAAGGAGTTGTGGATCTTGGACTAGTTTCCACCATATTTTTTTTTAAATTAGTGTGAGATGAATTACCTTGCACAAGGGAACTGTGGTGCTGGTGTGTGTGTTTCTTTTCATAAAGGAATAAGTGTAATCAAAATAGGACACATGAACGTAATATTTTATAAAACTTCTTTAATTCACTCTTATTTTACATGAATATTTATCAGCACCTTATCATTTACTCTTGATTAAAAAAAAATCAACAGGACACAGTAAATGTTTTTTTCATTATGAAAATATGTCCAGGCTTATGAATGTGCATATGAAGAGCAAAGTAAAAAACATACCAAAGCTATCACCTAACTCTTGAATTGATTCAATCCATTTTGGCTTTGTCAGAACACAAAGCTACCATTTCCACAAATCTAGACTACCACTGGGAGAAAAGCTGGAGCTTCTTTGAAGCCTTGAACCAAAGCTGATTTCTTGGCTCAGCTGGGAAATCACGAATGAGAACCAGAAGATTCCTCCAGCATTGCAGAAGGGAACAATGCACTGGTGCGGTGGCCTAGAACTTGTGCCTCAACTGTAAACATTAAAATAAATGTTATTAACTTGCATTTTTATTTATTTTTGTACTTGCTCTGTGTGTCAAGCATTCATTATTAACCCATTTACTCCTTAAAAAATTAATGAAATTCCCAAAGTTATATATATGTGCAGTTTCTATTTGATTTCTTATCACTATAAACTGAAAGAAAACCTCTATATAGTCTGAGAAAGAAGTTTTATGTTCGGTTTCTTTTTCTTGTTTACATGAATTTCATTCATAAGCGTGTACACACCCCAACCAAAAAAGTATATCAATGTTTTCTGGCTTATCCATAAAAGATCTTTTCATTTTCTCTCCTTCTACTTACACAATACATACAAAAAATAATCTACAAAAATCATTTACACTTGATTTCAGCAACAATGTTTCTAAGAAAAAAAATGGTTCTGTCCAACCATCATAAAAGGAATGTCAGTAAACAATAAATACAATGTGCTTTCTTTCCTATATAAACATATTTACACTTGAGTCTTTGGCTTATGTTTGAATTTCTTTATAAAGAACTTTGATCAGGCTGTCATTGCACAGTAAAATAAAATATGCCATTTTTAAAAATGTTTGCAGTATGTGTGGCTGTATCTCTATATAGATTCTTGCAACACATAAAACCTACAGATTATCAGTCTGTACACAGTGTTTTTAAAAACTTTTAACAGTATGAAATTAAGAACAAGTGTAAAATAAAACATTCACTAGAATAGATACATGCAACAGATGACAGGACTAATGTAGCCGAGAGTCAGTGGAATATGCAAACACTGGAAAGTTTTACTTTGATTAGCAGATGTTCTCTGCCTTGACTCTTAATTTTTTTTTTTGTGGCACTATATTCAGATTGTGTATAGGGACAGAACAACAGTCTCTCTCTCTCTCTCTCTCTCTCTCTCTCTCTCTTTCTCTCTCTCTCTCTCTCTCTCCTCTCTCCTTTACACCATTTATTAAGAAAAATACTTTTGCATTTAAAAATTAAGTCTCCCCTTCACTAAAACGTTTCTTCATAGGTTCAACAGCAGATGTCAAAACACAGTTTCTTAAATTTCATATTATTTGGTTCACTTGATTGTATTTATCCTTTCATATTAAGATGATTCAAGGTATTCCAGTGCGACATCATAGCAGAAACGATATTGTTCCTAATAGAGCAAAAAAACCATAAGTTACATTGCATTTGTGAAGGAAAGAAAATGAAGGAAGCACTACTGCTCCAAAGACTTAATTGCATATTTTGTTCTTAATTCACCATGTTTTTATATTTGTTCATGATTTTTGTTAAAAAATAATAATTGGAATTCCTTGCTATCAGTGGCTTCATATCTCATTGCTAGTTATTTGTCTACCAAAGAATAGTTCTGCTCTTTCAAAAGAATAATAATAATAATAAAAATATTAACATTCATTTATCAGCTGACAAACCTCAATTTTTAATACTATAGCTAGTATTACACCAAACTGAATGAAATGTAAGCTCCCAAAATAAAAAAAAAGATAGGAATTTGAATAAGTCAACATACATAGTTTATTATATGGTTATGAAAATGTGCATTTCCTAACAGATATATCTTTTACCAAGGCCCATGATCTGGAAGGAACAATATTCTGAGAGATGAAAAGAAATGTCAACTCTTTATCTGATTTCTTTTTAAGTTAACCACCCTTCCTCCAGGTGTAGAAAACCACCATCATACAGCACTTAACAGGAAGTACATTTTTTTTTTTTTAAAAAAAATACTGCTGTTTCGTTCTAGCGCTCTGATTAACGTGGTGTGTAGAGGTCAGATGAGAATATTTGGCTGGTTTCTTGGGTGGTTCTTTCTCCCAGCTTAACAGCTTTTGGAGATGCGATCAAGCGTTTTGCCCACATAAAGCATGACCTTGAAAATATCCCCCCTTTGGCAGCTGCTCAGACTGTAACAGAATAGCACCATTGCTTTGTGCTTTTACGTATAATCAAAGCTGTTAGAAATCATAGCAGGCTAGAAATTACTAAAATAAACAACACTGATTATAAAGTATGCATTCTGAAGTGCTTTTAAATTATAAACGGGGAAGATATAAAGCACAGATCTGTGCCTTCCTCCAGTCTAGCAGAACAAAACAAAACCAGTGCATAAATCTCCTAGTGGGAATATTCTGTCAAGGAAAGGATGCAAAAGGGATTTATAAATAATTATAGTGGTCATAGCCAAAGGGGAAAAGAAATTATTTTTCATAGAAGAGGTGTGTCATCTGTTATTCCACAAATTGATTGATCTTAGATTATAACTCTTGCCATAATTGTCCAAGAATGATAGGAGTTCAAGGGCCATAAGATCCCCTCTCTTGCCCCAAATCGGACCCTAATTCTCCTTTCTTTCTGCCTTTTCATCCTCATGTCCATTGATTTTCCTTCCTGCTTCCCATTCTTTACTCTTTCCCACTTTATATGCTCTAATATTTTAGGAAAACACATACTAGGTAAATATGTTAATTATGCATTTTCTGTTTGCAGGAATGTATGTCAATTGTTTTAAAAAAATCCCACATCAGAAGCATTAAAGTTGATATGGGATTCTATTGCTTTTAGTTAGGATTGTTTCCATAATTTGAGAGGCTGGGCTGTGTAGATTGATTTATCTTACATTTCAATGATTGCTCTGAAATCAAATTCAAAGAATTAAAAAATGACCTTTAATAGTCACAGACTATAGATTCGTAGGTTTCAAACTAATACTGGCAATAAGCACACCTTATTTTATTCTGATGCACTGCAGAAAACCTTGATTTCTACATGTTAAGTTTCTGCAGTTTAAAAATGTGCAAGTCTAGATTTAATTATAAACTTCAGGATTTAATTTAATTATTTGCATATTGTTCCCTATGAATATTACATGGATCTTTTTGTATCTTTTTTTGGTAATTAGCCACTTTCTTATCTTTTGTAATATTTACTTTGGCTAAATCACTATAATGTATCTAGCTTTTTTCTTCTTCTTTACATAACCATTATCGCTCTCTTTCACTCACTCTCATTTCCTCTTCTAAATATAATTTAAAAAAAATGGCAGGAGCCTGTGATATAATACACTAAACCATTTAAAGTTTTAATGAATTTTGGATGATGCCCCCTATAAGGAAATTCTCTATGTATCATATTTGGCAGAGATAGGTAAATGGTGGGTCGCCTGGATAGTAAACAATTTTAATTCCACAGAAATGTCTGGAATTTTCTTGACAAAAATAACCATTTCCAGCTGGTTCCTTGTTTAAACCATCTATAACTACGTAGGTTGTTAAAAAGAAACAATTTGACACCTTCTCTCCAAAAGCTCATCCACTACTTTACAAGCTACGTTATCTTCTCGAATGACTCCTCTTAGTTAGAATTGAGATGACAGTAACCCTAAAACTGCCTGAAACTCTGTCTTATGAGTCAAATTAGGGCAGGAAGTTAAAGAGAAAGAAAGATGTTTCCAGTGATTACTGTGAAACCACCGTCTCTCAGATTCATCAAAGGCCTAGATCTTTCAGTAGTGAATAAAGACTTTGACCTTCAGCATGCATTCAGCACATGGGAATTCGTACAGAGCTATAATTCAGCATTAATACATTCTAGATGTATTCTAATTATTTTGATATACAGTATGTTGATAATTAATTGAACATAGTCTGTATTTCTTGGAGTCTTGGAAAAAATGATTTTATTTAGGTGACTTATATGATTTTCATGCGTTTGTTTATTTGTTTATCAGCAGAACATAACTTACCGGCGTTTCTACCATGTTAGGCTTACTGTTCCGTAAAGTTTTTACTGCGTGGAAAACATCAATGACGTTTTGCCTTTTAACCATTTCCACTACAATGCCTATGGCACAAAACATCCCGCTTCGTCCACCACCGTTCCTGAATAGGAAAAGAACAATGGTTAACAAAAAAAAAATTTGCTTTGTAAAGAAGGCTGAATCAATTTGGAACTGAGCAACTCTGCCTGTTCTTGTAATTGGTTAGCATGTTCCCAAGACACTTAAACAGGTCCTATTTCTAATTCTTAGCCATATCCTTCATGAATCTCTGCTCATGCTGAGTTTTACCTTTCCTGTCATTAGTTCTACACATATGGGTTATTATTATGTGTTTTCCTTAGTGAAATGACTTTCAGTCAACTTCCATTATCTCCCCTTTCCATTTTCACATTTTCACTCAACTTTTTTGGGCAGCCACTCTGGCTTCTTCTGACATCTTTTTTTTCCATCCTTCTCCCTCCCAATTACTGGTATTTGTTATGGTGCTTTACGTATATCTTTTTTGAGATTCGCCTTGAACTTCAGTTTCTCTCATCATTACTAGTAATAATTCACTATATTGAGGTCTTTATATGCATTTTATTTGTTTCTATATGTTAGGGTGTAGGTATATACATATGTATGTATATAGCAATGATGGTGAACCTTTTGGGCCCCAAGTGCCCAAAGCATGTGTGCACGTATACCCAAAATGCAATGCATGTCTGGCGCATGGGTGCACCCCGCATGCACCCCCATGCATGTGCCCCACCCCCATGCATGTGCAGCAGAAACTCGAAGGCCAGCTGGCTGTGGGAGACATGTGCACATGCATGGTGGAGCTGAGCTGGGGTGATGGCGCATGTGTCCACAGAGAGGGCTCTGCATACCACTTGTGGCACATGTGTCATAGGTTCGCCACCACTGGTATATAGCATAACTATATGCATATAATGTATGTGTACACTTTTGAGAGCAGGAAACAGATTTTCATTTTTAATGTGTGCCAGAGTTCCCACAGGGGAAAAAATAATGGCAATAAAGGTTATCTTATATTTAACATATGTGCTTTGATTACATTAACCTTCAGTATTCTTGAATATAAAGAATTTCATCTGTACATGTTATTTTTCTTCAATTGTTCCACCACTTTTGTTTTCCCTGTTGATTAAGATTAAGTCAAGCAGAGCTGACCGCTCATGCCTTGTTAAACCCACTGAAGAATTTTCAGAGGGACAGATCAATTATTTTCTTGAAAGGACCATGTTTGTCAGAGTTTATCTTCCAACAGATGTTGAAATAATTAAAATGTCCCAGCTCTACTCCTTCATGTCTTTTTGAAAAACGTGTAATTAGCTTTTGGTTATTTCCTATTATGGTTTCTGTTTCTTCACCATAATATAAGGTAACTCTAATTAGATCATAACCATACAGCAACATGTTGAAATGAGCAGGGGAGGAGACAGATGGGAGAGAGAGAGAGAGGGAGGGAGGGAGGGAGGGAGAGAGAGAGAGACAGAAAAGAAGAAGAAGAAGAAGAAGAAGAAGAAGAAGAAGAAGAAGAAGAAGAAGAAGAAGAAGAAGAAGAAGAAGAAGAAGAAGAAGAAGAAGAAGAAGAAGAAGAAGAAGAAGAAAATGCTTACATATAGATGACTTCAGTCTCTAAAATTATATATTCTTGGCCCTAGCAAAAGTGCCTGGAATGGGGGACCTATTAGAAGGAGGAAATTAAATTTGGTTGATGTTCAATGGTTGTAAGAAAGATTTTTCTTGGAAAGTAGTTCTAAATGCTTGAGCTGGCCTATATACAATGTAGTCTGAGATACCTCTCATTTTTCCATTACATTTAATAATCTAGGTAACCATGTTCAAGTGCCCGATATCATCAAACGAGATACACTATCATAAAATGAGAAAGGCACACACTGTTCTTGGGAAGAAGAAATATTTCTCTTTGACTAGAGAAATAGGAGTACACATATTGTTCTGTTAGTGAAACATACCTAGAACATTCACCTACATGAAATTCCAGTCCACAGTATGGAGAAAATAAATAGTCAGGATTAAAATGCTAAATTACACTTACAGACAATGAATTATGGTTCTCCCTTCCCCTTCTTCGCATTCTTCTTGCCACTTTTCCACTTGAAGAATTAAGTTTAAGAATGACCTCTTGGAGCCTGGGACATCTCTATGAGGTGCCCAACTCAGATACTGGAATTGCTGAACCATCAGGTAACCTTCCTGAGGCTAATGAAAAAGCAAAAAACAAACCAATTTTATACCCACTGCAGACAATACAATGAAGTTTCAAAAGAATGAGAGGCTATATTAAAATCGGTGAAAAGTTTATGGCAGGCTAGTTTTCTAGTTCATCAGGCAGGATAGTAGAAAGCATGGTGACTAAAAATTTTACTCTGCAATTACAAAAGTATGAAGATGAAGAAGAGTTGGTTTGCAATGTAGGTTAAGTCATATCTCAGCTTGCATTGGTGCTATGGAAAAAAAGTATTCTTCAAAAATATTGTTTATTTATCACCTTTGAATAGCCAGCCATCTCACATAGTGAATCCAAGATAAACGTTTGCAATTATTTAGTCAAATTTCTATAAACAAATCCTGGTCCAAAGGGCTTTATTGTTGGGGGTGGGGGAATCCATTTTTGTCAGAGAACATGTAGCTCAATTACCAATGCCACAGATTAATTTTAGGAAAATTAATTAATTTAGGAAAATTTAGATGCAAGGCAAAATATTCAAAGTTTTTCATCTTTTCAAAAATCCTGTGAAACAGATTAGGCTGGCAGATAGTAAAATATTGTGGCCTTTTAATGCAGAAATAATCTGATTCTCAGCAATTCTAATTATTACAGACATCTTCTCCTTTCTCTTTTCTTGCAAACCCCTATACCATCTGAGGAAAGTTTGAAAAAAATTCTGGAGATAGATGAGGGGATTTTCAAGGAAAAGAACAGCTGCTAGAATTAAATAAAATGCAATGTTTTCAGTTCAAGGTTGCAGTTTTTCGATCTGATATGCTCATTGTACCTGTTGGAGACATGATTTTTCTTTTTAGAGTCAAACTAGGTCTTCAACCTAAGGAAAATACCCACTTGAGTTAAGGAGATTGGGTGGCTTACAATGCCTCCTGAACTTAAAATGAGTATGTTCCAGAGCCTTTGTGGTTATGGAACAAGATCGAGAAAAGGCAAGTTTCTTGAAATGGCTGCTAACAGGTCCAGCAACGATGATATAGCTAAAAGAACTTGAATTGTAGGAGTTGAGGTCCACATGTCTTAAAGTTACCACAAAGTTGAGAAACGCTACCATACAGTAAGGTTTTATTTTTTTTAAAGTCATTTAATTTTTATAAACATGTTTTTCTGAATATGAAAAATTCTATTATAGTCTATTATAATAGGTCAATAAACATGCCTTACCCTTGTTAAATTGCATATCCTGAAAATTCTGTTGATTACATCACACTCCATTGAACAGGACATGCACTCAACCTGAATAGGACCATATCTCAGCATTCCTTCCTCTGGCCAATATTGTGGGCATCCCTGTGTGATATTAAACAAAAGCTGCCATTTAAGTAGCTTTAGACATTGTGCTAAATCACCATACATTGCGGTGTCTTCTAAGTAAGAGTTCAGAATCACGACAGCTTAATCATTATGCAAATACAACAACGCAAGATTGGAAAAAAAGTTCACATTGTTCCATTTTTGCATGGTAAAGCAGTTTTAATTATCCAACTCTTCTATTAATTGTAACTGTTGATGGAGCTCACAGTTCTCATGCTTAATTAAACTGGCTCACATCTGGAAGGAGGGCAACAGGTTCACTATATGAAACCTCATCTTCTTCTTAGCAGTCTCTTTTACATTAAATATTTTTTATTTAGCAGTACAGAATATCTATTAGCCAGCAAGGGTGTGAACTGATAATAATATGTCTGGACCAATTTGATAGCATGACAAACAGCCCAATTTACTTTGTGCTAATATGGAGATTTTCCAGTTGAATTGGGAACTCAAATGCAAATCTTAGCTCAGTTGGCTAAGATTAAAAAATCATAGCTTTTTTCTTTTTATTTGTTACCTTGCTGTATTTCAGATTAATTCACTAATGAATCTTTGTGCAAGAACAGTATCTGGATCTTCTAAAATAGGAAACAGGTATCGCCTAAAGCATAACCAGTGGGGCACTGTTACAAAAAAAATTACATAATGGAGATGGCCCTAGTTTAGAAACTTGAAACATTAAAAAAATTAATAGTAAAGGTTTTTGTATCATGGAGTGCAGAGATGTGACCATGATGAGAGACTTTTCTGCTTATTTACTTCCTTCTTTCCTTCCCTCCCTTCCTCCCTACTTCCATTTATTTATTTTAAATGCCCAGTACCAATATCATTTACATATCCCTAGGAAAGAAACCTATAAATATCAGAAGAATAGCTCAGGGTATAGAGTGTGCATAAATTTTACAGCATGTAGCAATAGCAATAGCACTTAAACTTATATACTGCTTTACAGTGATTTACAGCCCTCTCTAAGTGGTTTACAGAGTCAGCATATTGCCCCCAACAATCAGGGTCCTCATTTTACCAATCTCAGAAGGATGGAAGGCTGAGTCAACCTTGAGTTGTTGAGTATTGAACCCTTGGCAGTCAGCAGAATTAACCTGCAGTGGAGGTGGTATTCAGCAGGTTCTGACCAGTTCTGGAGAACCGGTAGCAGAAATTTGGAGTAGTTTGGAGAATCGGCAAATTCCACCTCTGACTGGAGATTTTACAGTATCCTTCTCCTGCTACGCCCATCAAGCCACACCCACAGAACCAGTAGTAAAAAAATTTGAATGCTACCACTGCTGCAGTACTACATTCGAACTACTGTGCCACTATGGCTCCTATGCTCAACTAAAGCTAAAGATGGAAAATCCAATAAACAGAGTGAATGATGGATGTGATGGAACTATAAAAAATTATAGTTGAGACAAAACAATTGAATGTCAAGAACTTTCTGACACAGAACCAACTGCTATAGCGAGATACCAAAATCCAAGAAATCAAAATCTTTTCCAGAAAATCAAACTTTTCCTGTTCCTAGGAAAGAGTATCAGTAAATAATACCGAATGACAGAACAAACGTTTGATACATTCAGCATTGCTTCATGAAAATTTATGACTGAAGTCTTAGCAAAATCATTTAATGGGAGTAAAAGTTACCAAAGTAAAATCTTAATTCTGGATAGTGTGGATCATATTTCTTATGTGAAATATCTCCCTGAAATAGCGGACTAGTTTGCTATATCCAAAGTAGTTTTCATGAAATAGTTAACCTTATATTATTTGTAACAAATTAGTCCATCAATTAATGTCATTTGCCTTGTATATTTGCCTTATACAAATAACACAAACAGTTGCAAATAAAATAAATAATTTGTGACTCAGGAATAATGGATGCCCTCCTCTTCGTGGGCTGTTAAATCTAGATTTCATTGTGCCCTTCTTTCCTACTACTCTTACATACAAGTAGTGTTTGTTACTTCACAAAATCATGGAGAAATGTACAATTATCTATTGACATGATTTATGTTTGGTTATTAATCTGAAATAATAATGAAAACCTCAGAAAGGATCATGTACAGATCATGGTCTAGATTTGATCCTCTTCTGACTCTGTCTGAATGGGCCTGCTTCAGTCTGGAATTCAATTGAATTCAATGCATATTCCTATTGGCTAGTTAGTTACATTATAATTATACTTTATAATCATGTTTGCGGATTTAGGACCTAAAAGTATATCCATTTATGTAAAAGATGTTCCTTCTAATTTGCTATAGGTAGCCAAGCATTCTCAGAAATGCTTTGGATTTTAATGTGAACACATGTTCCTTTTCTATTTATCTATATATCTACATCTAAAGACCTCTAAATGTGAGAGGCAGTTTGGTTCAGTGGTTAAGGCACAAGACTAGAAATTAAGAGATTGTGAGTTCTATTTTCGCCTAAGGCATGAAAGCTGTCTGAGGGGAAATGGTTTTGGGCCAGCCACTTTCCCTCAGCCCTTGACGTCAGGGTCAGGTGACAAGTTGGTTGGTCAATTCCTGTTACAACCAATGGATCAACACTCAGTTGATAAAAACAAAAGCACCTGCAGGAAAATACTAATTATAAAAAGGAATATTTATCTAAATCTGTATAAGGAAGACACATGAGTCTATGTATGTTATGTTATGTGTGTGTGTGTGTGTGTGTGTGTGTGTGTGTGTGTGTATTCACAGGGGTGTTAAACTCAAGGCCCACGGGCTGGATCTGGCCCATGGGGTGCTTAGATCTGGCCTGTGTGGGCCACCCAGGAGACAGCAAAGGAATGACCTTTGTGGCCTATGCCAGTGAAAATGGAGCTGGGGAGGGTTGCATGTGGCCCTCCCCAGCTCTATTTTTCCTGGCAGAGGGTTGTAGGAGGCCGTCACAGCTGGAAATGGAGCTGGGGAGCCCATTTTCACTGGCAGAGCACTTGGGCCATCACAGGCAACATGAGTGACATCGAGCTGGCCACACCCACATTGGTCATGCCCACCCTGGCCCCCCAAGGTCAAACACAACCCTGATGCGGCCCTCAATGAAATCGAGTTTGACACCCGTGATATACAGTATAACTGTATCTATGTGGAAGCCATCTGTAGTACAGATGTTTATGCAATGTACCATATACAGAACATCAATACCATTTCAGACTGAATATGAGTGAAATTTTCTACTGAAAAAAAAAAAAGGTCAGCCTTTTTAAGGTGGATTGCACAAACTTTTTCAACATCAAGATCTTACTTGAGCTAAATCAACTTCATTTAACATCACGAGAGAGGTACAGCCATAATCATAGACTAGTCTCCAGAAATCTTTCACAGTGTTCGGCAGAGGATGCTGAGTGACAATGAAAGCAGCAGGTTGTCTGTAGCTCTGTATTTTAAAATAGATAAAATACAAATAAAAAAGAAATGCAGGCAACAATATCTCCCTCGTCAAATAAACGTATAAATCTTACACAACCACTGCACCACTCTCCAGATTGAGCAACAGAATAATAACAAAACAGACAATATATTAACTCCTTTCATTTTGAGGAGCATGGGACCAGGAAATAAAAAATTAAATCTTGGCCAGAACTAAGGAGCTTCTTAGTTTTTGCTTTCACTTTAGTTTACTTCTTTATCTTGGAGAAAAAGAACATGATAGATTTTTTTTTTTTTGTCCTCATGATAGATCTTAAGGCAGAATGACCTTGACCATGAACAGTTGCCAGCTTTTTTTTTTTAGAGTTATGCTGGGTGTCAACAGGGGGATTAATGGGTTAGTTTGTTTAAGCTAACTGAGAATTGGATTATGGGGATGATTGGTGTATATGAGAAACTGTGAACGTGAGCATGTGCTCCTATTACTTCCTTCTGCATCCTTTCTCTTTATGTAGCAGAAGAATTAGTTATCTAGGGCAGGGGTTCCCCCACCGGTCCATGGACCAGCAGCGGTCCATACAAACAAATGAAGCCCCATCCACGGGATGCAGGCAGCATGCAAAACCACACCTCCTCCGGTCCTTGGAAAAACCTTTCTCCATGGGACCGGTCCCTGGTGCCCAAAAAGTTGGGGGTTGCTGATCTAGGAGAAGGAGGTAATAGGAGTAAAAGGAAATTTTAAAAGTTACAGTAGCTTCTGGGAGATAAATGCTGCCTGTTGACTTTTGCCTACCTACCTACTGTACTTTCCAACTGATTGGTATAAAGGATTGAGTCAGCTGGTCTAATCACCACTATCAAACCTCTTGGAAGGAAAGGTGAAAAGATAAATAGGGTGTTCTTCCTAGGATCGATCATTGATGCTACATTGCCCAGAGGCAAATAGTACAAAAGAATGAGACATGCCTGACTCATGCTTCTCTTTAAACCAGGGGTCCCCAAACTATGCTGGCTGAGGAATTCTGGGGGTTGAAGTCCACAAGTCTTAAAGTTGCCAAGTTTGGAGACCTCTGCTCTAGACACTATCATAGGCTCAGGTTTCCATGCTGTACTGCCAAGAAAAGTTCAAGAAATCTGAACTCCCACTTTTCCTTGCTTCTGACTTTTTGAAAAAGCTCAGAAGGGATCTGCAAGCAGCAGGATGAGAGAGAGCTCTTCTTTCCGTTCTTTTGGATTTTTCTAACTTCTTCTGAAGGGAAAGAACATTTGTTCAGAAGGGCTTTTCAAGGCTAAGATCATTTGAGATACTTCTTGTTTTTTAATTTTTTTTAAATAACAACTGTATAAATACTAATGAATTAATTATAATGTGGAAAATAACTGTTTTGGTTTTTAGGTGTACGTAACCATGAGTCATTTGGCAGGTTGGAAGTGATCGTTTCCTCAAAATACAAGATCACTTACTGGCTGCATTAAAGTATAAAAATATCCAAGGTCTCCTATCATTTCTCCTCAGTAATTTTCAACTCCAAAAAATTTGTAATATTCATAATGTCAGAAAAATCAGTATATTGCTGCACATCAGAATAAGTATGAATTAATCTTTTTTTCCAAGTACCAATAATTCTATTGCATATTTCTCATCTAGTCAAGGAAAATAGTCACTTACATCCATAAGGGCAGCATTGATGTAATTGCTGCTTTCGCCATCAATAGTAATTAAGAAAGGCAGACATCTGTCAGGTGGCAGCATATCCATAAAGCGGTTTTTGTCATGATTTCTTGGCAAGCATGCTATGCTGCAGTCTTCGGCTTGCAGCCGAGGAGTCACAGAATTCAGGGTCTACAAGGCAAAATAAATATTTATTTTGACATTGTGTACCTAACTCAAAGAGGTTTGGGCATAAGGGATACAGGCAAGGTGACAATGTTGAAAGCCACAAAGAAAGCAAAAGCACATTTACTTCTGTTTAGTCAGGAGTAAGGGATAAGAATCTGCATATACGGAATTGGAAATCATCATGTAAAATTCATGCCCTGTATTTTACACTTATCTAAAATGCAAAAATTGCTCCTGATAGGCCAAAAGTCACCCACGTTCAAATGAATTGGCAGGCTATAGTGATTACAATCACACAGTGATATTCCCCATATCCAGACATGAAAGAACACCATGACAGAAGAGGACAATGCATTATGAATCTGACACAGGAGGTACAAAACATTCTGTATTTTCGAAAGCAAAGAAATGGTGCTTTTAAAGCGACATCAACCAACGGATGTACCTGGAATTCATCTTTAAGATGTGAAGAGTTTGTCTGAGAGTCTATTCGAATCATGTCAAAATATGCAGCTTTAAATTCACAGACTGGGATGGCAGTTTCTCCACATAAGCAGGCTTCCAGGATGGCATCATGAATAAAGATATACTGTTCCTGCCAGAGAAAGAACAGAAGAAGTTTGGGGATCCTACAGTTGGACAGATCATTTAGGTCACCGAATCCAACCTCTTGCTCAGTATAGGAATACAAATTACAGCATTCTCAGCACCTAGTTGATGTGTAGTGCCACTTGAAAGCATCTAATAAAAGAAAGTCCACCACCTCTCCAGCTAAGTCTGTTGAGCTGATTTTATTGGCTAGGATGTTTTTTATTGGCTAGGATGTTTTTTTCTAACATTTCATAAGATGTCTTCATTATTGAATCCAGCAATGGTTCTTAAAGGAATGAAATCTCTCCTTTGGATACTTTCCCATTAACACCCTTATTCAAGAAAGCTTAAAAAGACAATTTGCATCTCGCTAAGAAACAGTGCTGTGTATTTTTAAAGTAATATTCATTCAAAAAGTATACATTTTAAAGAATGGCAAATTTTTAATCCCAGCAATACTTAACGGCAAAATTAAAGAAATAATGTTGGGGAATGGTTATGTTTTTGCTCACATCTATGAAAAATAATAACATACCACCAACACTTTGGTGGTATGCCATATTTGTATAAAGTTGTATGCTTGAAAGTACAGATAGTCCTCAACTTGCAACCATTTGTTTAGTGACTGTTCAAAGTTACAATGGCACTGAAAAAAGTGACTTATTGCCATTTTTCACGCTGAGATCTTTGCAGCATCCCCATCATCATGTGATCAAAATTCAGGTGCTTGACAACTGGCATATATTTATGACACTGTCCTAGGGTTATTTATTGCATTGTCTTAGGATTACATGATCACCATTTATAACCTTTGCAGCTAGTTTCTGACAAGTAAAGTCAATGGGGAAAGCCAAATTCACTTAACAGCCACATGATTCACTTAACACATTGCAATGATTCGCTTAACAACTGTGGCAAAAATGTCACTCATTCACTTAACAACTGTTTTGCTTTGCAACAGACGTTTTGGGCTCCACTGTGGTTGTAAGTCGATGATTACCTGCATATATTTTTACTTTATAAATGACAATGTCATGTCATGACCAGCGATGGCAGAGTGTATTAGAAATAGAAAATTTTCCCTTTTGGGACGTCCCTCCCGACGCCGGCAAAGTAGAGAAAAGGACAGAACAAATTGGAAAGAGTGGATGAACGCTTAAAGACTGTGAATAAGGAAATTAAAGATTCCCTGGTGTATTTAGAAATGGACAAGGCTGCAATGTATCTAAGATTCCAAAAAATAGTGGAATCAAAAGAAGAAGACTTAGATCAGGTGATGGCGGAAATCTTGGCAGAGGTACTGGAAAAAGACAAAGATGAGATTTTGAAAGAGTTGGATGAAGTCCACAGAGTAAGTACTAATTATGCAAGACGACACAAATGCCCAAGAGAAGTGCATGTATGTTTTGCAAGAAGAAAGGTCCGGGACATTATATACAAAATATCAAGAGACGAAACAATTAAGTATAAGGACAAAGAAATCTCAGTTCTTAAACAAATCCCAAGAAGGGTTAGAGAAGCAAGACGAGATTACAAATCCCTGGTGACCCAATTAAATTGAAAAGGTATTATGTTTAAATGGCTTGTCCCGGAAGGGATGTTAATTACTTGGGGGGAAAGAAAAATTAAAGTAGACTCTTTAGAAAAAGCCTAAGATTTCTATGAAAGACTGGTAGGCTCTGAAGAGCAGAACAGCAAAGATGAATCAGAACCAGAATCCCAAGAAGACCAAGAGCATCAAAAGAAGGGACAGAAGACCCCAGAAAACTTTAAAAACAACCAGCAACAACAGAAGAAAAAGAAGAAAGCAAGGCACAGTATAAACCACAAGCAGAACTTGGAGTTACTATAAGGCAAAGAGCGAGAATTAATTAGACTTAAATGTTCAAGAAGAATAAGACCAATCAAAAATAAAGAAGAAAAACAAGAAGTAAGAAAAATCATCTAGTAACAACAAGAAAGAGAAAGGCACAAAGAGAAACTGGAGCAGTCACGAGACAAAGAGCGAAACAAAATTAAGTAATGGAAGAAGAAAGGAAAATATTGTCAATTAACATAAATGGTCTAAATTCTATGATAAAAAGGAAAAGGACAATAGCCAAATTAATTAAGCAAAATGCTGACATAGTATGCCTATAAGAAACCCATATAAAGAAATCACATGAAAAATATTTAGAATGCCCAAAATTAGGGAAGCTATTTACTGCATCGGCAGCTGTGGGTAAAAAAAAAAGGGATAGCAGTGTATGTGAAAGAGGACATGAAAGCAGCGTTATGGTCGGATCCTGATGGAAGAATTCTGGTTTTGCAGATCTGGATTAATGCTATTCCAATCCTTTTAGTGGTAATTTATGCCCGAATGGAGAGCAAAAAGAGTTTTTTAAGTATTTATATGAAAAATTAGTAGGATTGGAAAAAAGAAATATTTGTATCATAGGGAACTTTAACGCTATTGCTGATTACCAAAAAGACCACAGCATTGGCAGAAGAAACAGAAAAAAAAGAGAGCTTCCAAAAATATGTATGGAAATGATGAGGGAGTTAGATTTGATTGATATATAGAGAAGGTTAAACCCTTGAGAAAAAACAATTTACATTCTATTCAAACCCCCACCAAATATGGACACAAATTGACATGGCATGGATGAATGGGGAAATAGCAAATGAAATAAAAGGGATTGAAATTCTACCCAATAAATGGGCAGACCACAATCCAATTCACATAATCTGGAAAGGTAGAAAAAAATCCAGGAAAAGGTGGACATTAAACATGCATTTAATTAGAGAAAAAGAATATACGAATAAACTTAAGGAGGAATTAAACTGTTTCTTAAAGGAAAATAACAATGGAGCAACTACGAAACAAAACATTTAGGACACAACGAAGGCAGTAATAAGAGGTATAACAATCTCTTATAATGCCAAGAGGAATAAAGAAAAATATGCCCAGCAAAATAAACTACAATTTTTTTTAAAGAATTAGAAATTCAATTACAAAGTACCCCAAACGATTCAAGATTGCAAAACCAGATAACAATAATTAAACACAAATTGAATTGAATTGAACAAGAGAGAATTATTATAAATTTGAATAGAACTAGACAAACTTATTTTGAGCACGCTAATAAGCCAGGAAGATGGTTGTCCTATAGATTTAAAAAAGGGAAAGAAAAAAGATTGATTTACCAATTAATAGATGGAAATGGAGAAATGGAAATGGAGCAGGGGTTAGAACAGAAAAAAGAAATTGCCCATAAGTATTTTGAAGATTTATATAAAAAGGAGGAGATCAATGAGGATAGGATAAGAAACTATCTAGATAAAATGAAGGATAAAGTAATTGGGGAAGAGATGAAAGAATTATTAAACAAAGATATTACTTGGTCTGAATTGAAAACAGCAATAGAGAATCAGAAAAATAGTAAATCTCTGGGACCAGATGGGATCCCAGGGAAACTATACAAGGCAATAGGAGAACTAATAGGACCCCTTATGGTGGAAGTTTTTAACGATGTCCTATTGGCAGCCAGAATGTCGGACTCATGGAAGGGGGCATTGATTTCTCTGATCCCGAAGGAAGACTTGGACCCCTGATATATACAAAACTACAGGCCAATTTCCTTGTTAAATATGGACTATAAAATATTCACTTCTATTGTTGCAAACAGATTAAAAAGAATTTTGAATGACCTGATACACCAAGACCAAAATGGATTTCTCCCGAACAGCCAAATCAGGAATAATTTAAGAATAGTACTAGATGTTCTGGAATTTTATGAAGCCCACCCTGAGAAACAAATAGCTTTTATGTTTTTAGATGCACAGAAGGCCTTCGATAACTTTAATTGAATTTAATCCAAAGAATTTATAACATGAATTTAGGCACCAAATTTGAAAATATTATAACCACTATCTACAACACACAACAGGCGAATATTACGATAAATGGGGAATATAACCACCCAATAAAAATAGAGAAAGGAGTCAGACAGGGTTGCCCACTCTCACCCCTGCTCTTCATATTGGCATTGGAAACATTATTAACATATATTAGACAGAATCCAGACATAAAAGGATTAAAGGTTAAGAAAGAAGAATATAAGCTGCAAGCATTTGCAGATGACATGTGTTTTTTTATTGAAGAGCCAATTGAAAGAGGACAAAAATTGATGAACAAGTCAAAACAATTTGGAGTAGTTGCAGGATTAAAAATTAATAGAAGGAAAATGAAATTAATGACCAAAAATCTAACAGGAAAACAGAAGTTAGAATTAGAAAAGGTCATGGGATTTCAACTGATAAAGAAAGTTAAATACTTAGGAATATGGCTGACAGCACATTGTAAAGCACTAATTACGACAAACTATTGCAACAGGTAAAGAAGGATTTAGAAACATGGGGTAAACTGCAACTTTCACAATTAGGTAGAATTGCAACGATTAAAATGTCTATTCTTCTAAAATTTCTTTATATATTTCAGACGATATCAATTAAAGTACACAAAAAGTATTTTGAAGAACTTAATAAAATAATCGCAAAATTCATTTGGCAAAGGAAGAAACCAAGGATAAATTTAAAGGCAATGCAAGATATGAAGAGCAGGGGAGGGATGGCCCTTCCAAATTGGGAGTTGTACTATAGTGCGGCCTCCTTAGTATGGTTGAAGGAATGGGTGAACTTAACAAACAAGAGAATGTTAGTTTTAGAAGGCCATGATCTACAGAGGGGGTGACATGCTTTCCTATGGGATATCGGGAAAACCACCCAAAAATACTTTCACAGACACTTAATTAGAGATGCATTATTGACTAACTGGAAGAAAATAAGGAGAAAACATTATTTAAAGATACCAATCTGGATTCCAACAATGGAAGCGATGATCCACCCAAATAACTTGGATATTAGTAAGATGATTATACAAGGACTTATTGGATGTGCAAGGAAATTTGAAATTGTGGCAAGATCTTCAGGACCAGGGAGTACAAATTGACAGATGGGCATATCTTCAAGTACAGAGTAGATACAAACAGGATAAGAAAGAATTTGGAATCAATAATAAACTTCAGCAACTAGACAAAATTCTATTAGGCCCAGACAAAAAAAAATATAACAAAATTTTATAATTACCTACTAGAGGCAGAATTAGAGGAAGAAATTGTCAAAGGGAATATGATACCCTGGAGTAGGAATATAGGACGTAGTATCACTTTAATAGAATGGAGTAGAAATAATCTGGAGTAGAAATAATAAAACCACAAAATTGGCAGCCTACAAGGAAAATGCATATAAGATGTTTTACAGATGGCACCTTCCCCCCTCGAGATTAGCGAAAATGCACCCCAACATGAGTCTGAATTGCTGGAAATGTAAAAAAAAAAAAAGGAGGGAACTTTCTTCCATATGTGGTGGTCTTGCATAGAGGCACAAAAATATTGGCAGAAAATTAGAAAATGGTTGGAGGAAATGACAATAGAACAGATCGAATTTAAACCAGAACTCTTTCTATTAGGGATCTTTAATAAACAAATCTCAAAAAAAGCGAAGTATACAATAGTACATATTTTGACAGCGGCCAGACTGGCCTTTGCACAATGTTGGAAGCAACCTCATATTCCATCAGAGAAATTGATTATTCAAAAAATAGCAAATTGTGCAGACATGGACAAATCAACTTTGGCATTAAAAGGAAAAGATACATCAATGTACTATGACAGCTGGAACTGCTGGTACGAATGGATAGAACAAAGATCGATTAAACAATAAAGGGCAAAAGAAGATATGTTATAATTGTAGTCGTGATTATATATATATATATATATATATATATATATATATATATATATATAT